CATGATCATGAAGATCAGAGGACAGCTTGCAGGAATCAGTTCTTACCTTCCACCATGTGGATTCTGGAGAAGTGCCTTTACCCACAGAGCCATATTGCCAGCCCCAAGGTAATTCTTTAACTCTGGAATTTAATAACTTTTCCCATCCTAAAAGTCTCTATCCTTCATCTTTTTTTTTCATTCCTTTCATGGTTAGTCTTGATAATTTTACAAGAATGTTTGAAATAGAAAAATCCCGAGAAAGATTTTAAATGTGTTCACTCAAAGTTAAAACTACTCCAAGATACCATTTTCAGCTATCATAAGGAACCAAACAGGTAAAGAACTAGCAATATCAAGGGTTGGAAAAGACACAGCAAAAGCCAAAATGTAAAATGAATGCCTTTTATGGTGGTTTAAATGAGAATGTCCCCCATAGGCTCAGATATTTGAACACTGCTCCTCCGTTGGTGTCATTGTCTGGGGAGGTTTAGGAGATGAAGCCTTGCTGCAGGAAGTATGTCCCTGGAGGCGGGCTTTGAGATGAAAAGCCTGGTGCCAATGCCAGTTTTTTCCTTCTGCTTTGTGTTTGTGGTTGGCGTAGGAGCTCTCAGTTTTCTGTTCTAGAGCCAAGCCTCCCCACAACGACAGATCTTGTCCCCCTGAAACTATAAGCCAAAATAGACTCTTTTTTCCCCATGCCTTGCTCATGGTATTTTACCATAACAATGGAAAAGTAACTAATAGACAAAAGTAGAATTTTTGGATAATGGATTAGGTGTATATAAAATTTTAATGGTGTTATTAGTCCCTCAAGGAAGAACTTTGAATACTACTAAAACTTCATACAATCCATGATCTAAAACTTCTCCTTATGTTTAGGTTAGAGGAATAATTATAGTTATCCTATGAAAGAATGTGGTTGGTGGCATTTTAAATATAATATATAAAACAACAGAAAGCAACCTAAATGATCTTCAGTAGGGAACAAACCAATCAAACACTGATCTACTGTTGCCAATAAGGACTAAGCAGCAGTGGATTAGAGTGATGCAGTTCTAACCCACTCCAGGAATGAGGTTCTTAGATGTAAACTGGGGGTTTGATGACCAAGATGGACTTCATGTTTTACAGTACTTCGTGTTTGACTTCATTGGACCCCAAGTGCATCTTTTTGACAAGATCATCAAGATCTCAGTAAGTATACCATTGCAGGTGGTGGTGCTTGGGGCCAGGAGGAGAGACTCTAGGCATGGGGAACGTTGGGGCAGCTCAGCATGGTTAGCGATGCCTGGATTCAGGAGGATAAATATGGGTCGGTGACTGGGGAAGTAGCAGGCTAAAGCTTGAAATCCCCAGTACGGGGCATTTTAGGAAGGGAAACCATCTCAAGAGAATCTTTGCTTCTTGGAAGCGAGCAGTAAACTACAGAAAACTTTGGCTAATTGGATGTGGGGATATGAAGCATATGTTGCAAATGACATCTTAATTGACTGCCATTTTTCAGTTATTTTTTAAAAATCAAGTTAATGTTATGTTTTTCTATTGGGATGATAGCTACGCTAATTAATCATAACCATCTCTTCTCCTAGTCAGTGATAAATAGAGAAACGGGAATAGGAACCAGGGAGGGACCGCATATGTTCACCTCCTCACTGATAATGCCTAATGAGCAGGGGAAATTATTTGCAGCATTCTGGCATTCTTGAAAATTGCTGCTAAGTGTAGACCTCAGGATCTTTGCAACGGGAGTTGGATCTCCTGGACAGATCTTCCTCAGCCCCTCCAGGGAGAGGAAGTTTGTCCGCAAATCCGGACTAAAGAGTAGAAAAAGTGAGCGCTCCCTGGGCTTTCTGGGGGCTTTATCCAGGCTTACATGGATGGCAGGAATAGGAAAGGAAAAGTATGCATGCTGAAGTCATCTTGTCCCAAATGAGAGCAGAAATGGCTGGCTGAGCTCATTACCAACTGCACACTGTTCAGTAAAGGGACCGAAGACAGTGGGTGGCGGGTGATGGCATGTATCCTTCAATCTCAGAAAACAGCCACTTCTTCCAGAGAGAGGGGTGTGAGGCCGGGTGTGCCTGAGGGTGATAGGGTGAGCGCTGAAGAGTGAACAGGTGCTGTCTTCCAAAGACTTCTCAAAGAACAGAACTCCTGCTTTGTATGTTGGTAAAAGTGTGTGGAGAACGAGGAAACAGTTCCCTCAACAGTCAAGCCGACTCTGGTGGGAATTGCTAGGCTGCCATTCATCTTGGAAGTTTTCTTCCCTGTCCTTCTCTCCCTGGCCTCTTTTTATCACTCGCTCACACACTAGATCAATGCATAGGCGATATGACCTTTTAACTGCAGCTGAATGTCAACGAAGTCCCCTCATAAGGCCTGGGTTCCAGTGGTATGATACCGTCCTGCCCAGGAGCACTTGAAGAATGTGACTCTTGAGGAATGGAAAGTCATTGAGAGCCAAACATTCTTAGTATTTGAGTTTCAGATGTGATGACAAGGATGCAGAAGATATTTTGGGAGCTGGGATGGCTCCCAGGGCTTTGTGCCATCACTCCAACAGTCACCTGATGATGCTGGCCTTACATTAGCTGAGGGACGTGCTAGGTTGCAGAGGAAGTTCATCACCAGGCCTCTAAGTCCTATCATAGACAAGAGTCATGACTGTATGAGGGACACATGGAATTTTAGACATAGGACCAAAGCTGATTTGCCTGTCTCCTTCCTTCTTTGGGAGAAGACAGTCTTGTCATTCTTAAAAGACTCCTGGGGAGAGACCAAAGATTTTGATGGAACACTCTCCCTCTTATGTTTAATGCAATTTTTCTGCTGGTTCATAAACTGAAAGCCAGTGTGCCCAGAATGAATTCGATGTTAAGGAAAGGGAGATGACTTATCGTCATGTGTTAGGTCACTTTGATGGCTATGAGTCCTTGTTTAACCACTGCCCACTGCAGATTACCTGACCAAGGCAGAGAGCAGCACGGATTTAGATGTATAAATGTAAGTATTTAGAAGATAGTCTGACAGCATGGCCACCTAGCAAAATAACAGTAGTAGGTTCCCCTCTGGAACCTGTCACTCCCCGTCAATGGCCTTTGGACCAGGTTTATATTCCTAGGCATAAAGTCTCTCCTGGGGAGCAGTCCTCAAATTCAATCAGACAACGTTTGGCTACTCCCATCACAGCCATGAAACTGCTGTGGATATAATAGCAAGCCAGCCAAATTCCAGTGTGAATGGGAGGACTCATGAGGCTCCACCCCCAGCTGAGGAACTACTGGCAGTGGATGGCTTCTGGAGTAGCCAGTGTCTTTATTCTTTGGGAGTATGGTCACTGATAGGTTGCCTATGTTCTAGTGGATAGCCCCCAATCCAAGCACATATGGGCAGCATTAACTGGATTCAGTGGGAAGTAAAAAAAAAATGGGGGGAAACACATGAATTTAGGAGGCAGACATGTTAGAGTGTTCCAGAAAGAATGCGGGGGATGGATATGATCAAAACTACATTGTATATTGTGAAATCCTCAAATAAGAATTAAGAATATTATTAAAAAGGGGTGGGGTGGGGGTGACTATAATTAGATGCTCTTGGAATAACCATGGTATAATAATATGCTCTGGTGGTACCATAGACAATTTTCCTCTAACAGTGGCCCAAGGATCCCAGGACCTCAGCACAGTGTGTGTGACACATCCTCAGAGCCTAGTAATCTCATAGCCAACTTCAGTAGGCTCGCCTGGCACTCAGCCAGCAGGCAGATACCTTAAAGAGGTCTCCTGTGTGGCTGGAAGAATTGGGTGAGGGTCTTGCATTCCATCTTTCGCAGAGACATTTACATTGTGAAAGGAACTTGAGATAAGCATCTGATCCTCCTCAGACCTCAGGGAGTCATGTTAGCCACAGAAAGTGAGGCTGCTTTTCGCGTGTGGTCCTAAATAGCTCCTCCGCTGAAGCCAAGCTGTCCTTGCGTCCCCTCTGTCAACACTAACAAGTCAGAGAGAGAGAGAGAGAGAGAGAGAGAGAGAGAGAGAGAGAGAGACACGGACACACACACACGGGAGAGAGGGGGAGAGGAGAGAGAGGAGGAAGAAAAATAGGGATGGCTGTCATTTCTTGAGGTCAGCTGACTACTTTTTCTTACTGCCTCTGACAAAAAGCCACTCAGAAGCTCCATGAACCTACCATGCACCCTTATTTCAACCATCCATTAACTCACTGAATATTCATTGAAATTCATTATGAATGAGGCGCATGGTGGATAGAATCAAAGGAACACTGCCCTTAATCAAAGAAATCATAGCATTTATAGTTAGCAGGAATCTCGGAGGTACCTCTAGGATGACATGGAGTTCTTGAGGCCCTGGGGTTCCAGTGACAGGAATGTCACTACTTCTGGAGAATGAATCCTTCATTGCTGAGAGATTCTAACCAGCCAAAGAAATAGCATCCTTAACTGAGTTGAAATCTCAACCTGTTACTCAAGAACCACGCAGGGAACCTGACCCCTTTTCTGGATGCAACATGCCCAAGATTTGAGGGCGCTTCAGTCACACAGTCCGCTTCTCGACAGCTCCGCTTTTCTGGATTAAAGATTAAAGTAGTCCAGCTTTTCCCTCAGTGTCTCATACACTGTGACTTCTAGATACAGCACTGACTACGCCACCTTCCTTCAGGACTTTCTCTTGGTGCCACCAGCCTTTCAGCATGCTGCTGTACCCAGGCTAGACACTCTGCACACTGCTAATGAGAACACACACACACACACACACACACACACACACACACACACCATACTGTACAGAACTCACTCTGTTGTTCAATACCAAACATCTGGCAACGCATGATAAGCTCTCAAGAAAGTTGTGAAAAATGTTTTGGAGGCTGAGGAAAGAAAGAACAGTGGCAGCCCAGGAGACCAAGGACAGACCCTTGGAGGAGGTGACATTTGCTCTAGCCACTGAAGGATGGGTCAAGTTTGAGCAGGAAGAGGTGGGTATTGAAGGGTAGCTTACCATGGTTCATTTGATTAAAGAAACCTTCCGGGCACTGAGAGTGTCATGCATCCTTCCAGCAGAGGGACAGAAAAAGCTGCTAGAGAAAGAGGTACCGATGAGACACTTAGGACCCTATGGGTTGATGACCACTGTGCTCCAGACAAGGTCAAATCCAGACAAGGGTCAAGTCCTAGGAGTCTCTGCCGAATTGAGTCCGTTTCACAGATATATCTTCAAGGACAAATGAGTCAGGCTTGGTGCTCCATCTTTTATAGGTCTTACATCACAAGCTGATAGGAAGCATCCTGATTGGCTCTTTCCGAGTGGATGTGGGGACGGTGTACAACCAGCCTGGTGAGCAAGCCCCTCCTTCCCATCTTGCTTTCTTACTCTTCTTCGGTTTACTCTCTGATCAGCAAAGCTGGGCGTTTTTCTGTGTGGTTCTCTAGACTGAAGGTCTCCCAAATACCCATGGTCAGTTGGAGAAGAAAGTCAGACAAGAGGATTGGAAGGAAGGGAGGAGGAGGGAAGAGAAGAGAGTGGGTAGCCTGGGGACTGGGGGTATCTGGGGACGGCTACTATGTTAAGCAGTAGAAGGAGGGAACCAGGAGCCTGTGGGTGTGGGAAGGGATGTGGGAGCCACTGGCCCGTCTGCAAAGAATGCACATACAAGATGTGTTTATAGGTCACCAATTCTGCGACAAGTGGGCACTGCTTACAGACCCTGGTGACATCAGGACTGGCACCAAGGGCTACCTGAAGTGTGACATCAGTGTGACCGGGAAAGGCGATGTCTTAAAGACCAACCCCAAAACCTTCGACGCTGAGGAGCAAATAGAGAAGTGAGGCCGACCCACCGAGAGCCCTAAAAGAGAACTTATTTGTCTGTCCACTTTATGTCTCTTTTCCTCTCTCCACTCCTTTCCGTATGGGTGTGTGAATGCTGCCAAGCTCATGGCTTGTCCGCCAGAGACCCCGCTCTGTCAGCAACCCCTGAATATATCTTCTCAAAGCTGCGGCTTTTTCGGGAGCTCAGATTCTGGGACAAGAACACTGTTTCCCTGTAACAGCTTATTTTAGATAAGCCATTCTATTGTTATCATTATTGCTATCATTAATTCCTCGAGAATTTCATATAATGCATCTTGTTCATATTCCCCCCGACTCCTCACTCCCACCCCTCCCGGATCAAACCCCTCTTCCCTATGCCCCTCTTTGTGTCCTTTTGTTGTTGTTTAAAGAAAAGACTATTGTGCGGCAGTTTTCCTCTGCTCTGTCTTCCTACCTCCTTTTCCATGTTTCCTGAGCCTTAAGTGTATGCGTTATGTGAATAAGCCATTCTTGAGATTGTATGATTTATCCACGTGTAACTGTTTTGTCTTCAAACTTTCAACCACTGGTTTATGGCAAAAAAAATTTAAATTCTAGAAGGAACTAGAATGAAAACTTGGTTTAGTGATGAATTCCGGCGTTTTTCTATAGCCAGATTTTTCTTTCTGCCTCCAACCTGCGCCTGCCCTTTCTCTTTACTCTTGAGTGACAGACCCATTCATTTAAAAAATCTTTCCCCCTCTAGGAACATTCTGATCCCTCAAGGATTTCCATCAGAGAGACCTTGGGCCAGATTCTATGTGAGGCTGTACAGAGCAGAAGGGTTACCCAAAATGAACTCCAGCATTATGGCAAACGTCACCAAAGCGTTTGTGGGCGACAGTAAGGACCTCGTGGATCCCTTCGTGGAGGTGTCCTTCGCTGGGCAGACGGTGAGGAAACTGTGTCACCAGTAGTGACAATTATGTCCTGCTCTGCATCCAGAACATTTTTTCACCAAATGAAATCAGGTTAAAAGCGTCCCAGAGAAGACCTTGTCACAAGAAGGGGAGTGTAGAGGAGGCTTACTCTCTCGTACCTCACTGGACCTTGTAGAGAGGAGCTATGGTTGGATCGGTGCAGCTTAGGGTCAGGGAGAAACATGCATTTCCTCACCTCTGGCTATTTCTCTAAGCAAGTACCAGGCCCTAGGCCCTGGAGAATTACCACTCCCCCCTGACCTATTTCCCAATGTTCCAGGTAGTCCTCCTATTGCTAGACACCTCTGTTCCTTTCTCAAGAGCCATCGGAAGAATCAAGGCCTAGGTTCATGGCCAAAGCTGGATTCTGCCTTACTGAACTTTGAAACTTTGAATGTATTTTATACTTTCAAAATATGACCCTGTCCCTTCCCATCAGTAGGAGTGAATGCTGGGGTATTGCTAACTTGGGTTGAATTTGGAGGGCATATAGGACATCATTCCCATGTATGGCAAGGAAACAGAGGCCCAGGCTGCAGCCCTGATTCCCTGAAGGTCATATATAACATGCACCTGCGTCTTTACGTAGACATGAGCTCAGGGTCTAGCTATGTCTGCTGCTTTCCTGGAGCTGTATAGAACAGCTCATATTCATGACACAGGCATTCACCCCAACACTTACCTGTTGAGTAGAAATTTCCAAGAACAACGCCTTTGCCCCAATGCTCCACATTGCATTTAGGTCACCAATAATGTTAATGGGGTGCAGTTGGTTTTCATAGGTGTCCTGGGAAGCAAGCTCGTCTTTGGTAATTCCCTTTTTATCCCCAGATGCTTTGAAGTGTTTTCTTTAGCCATTTATTTCCATGGCTCACTTCTTCCTGGCTGTACTTTTAGGGGCGAACTTCAGTGCAAAAGAACTGTGCTGACCCTGTGTGGCATGAGCAGGTGGTCTTCAAGGAAATGTTCCCTCCCTTGTGCCGGAGGGTGAAAATTCAGGTGTGGGATGAAGGCAGCATGAATGACGTCGCCTTGGCAACCCACTTCATTGACCTGAAGAAGATCTCCAATGAGCAGGATGGAGATAAAGGTAGAGTTTCCCATGTCTGACTTGGAAGGAGGTCTCAAAGGCATAGTAACCTTTAAAGAGAGTGGGCCACGTAAGCATGTGCTAACACCTTTCATGGTTCTGTGGTCTGTGGCCTGGCTCAGTTAAGCTAGTGGATGAAACCCAGCTCTGGTCTCAGGTCTTCCATGACCAGTGCTACCTACCTGAGATGTGTCACAAAATGGAATTCTGATAAAACCAAAGGTTGGTAAACTAAGATCTATAGGCCAAATCTGTCCTCCTACATGTCTTTGCATGGTTCTGTGTGAACAGTTTTTGCATATTCCAGTGGTCGATTTTCCCTCCTACATAAAAATTATGTTTCCAGTCACCTGATGGGAACAGTGTGAGGGTGGCAAGGGCTGTGGGTGATTGTGAACTCATTGAGCCAGGAGAGCCTCAGGTAACCCACAGAGTGCTGAAGGAGGCAGGCAGGGGAAGAACCCCTGCTCGGTAAATGACTATTTCCAAAATCACATTGGTGTGTAAGAATTCTAAATTAACCCCCATTTAAATTCATAACAATCTTTCTCTGCACTGCAAATGTATGTCAGTTGACAAATGCACATATATACATGCATACCTATATACATATGTCACAAATATATACAATTAAATGGTCAAATACAAACATACATATATGTATATGTTAAACAGATCTAATCATATGTCATGTAGAGATGACATTAGCTTTATTTTCTCTTAACTAGATGAGTATTTTCCAAGAGCAGAGACTTGTGTATTTCTGTATTTTTATGTCCTTCACAGATTGGCTTTACAGAAAGCCCTCAATGAATTATGTTGTCTATTTCTTGATATTGCAGCAGCACTTACCACTTTATATATAAACACACACACACACACACACACACACACACACACACACACTCATCCATCTACACTTTCTCAACTAGATGTTAACATGTTTTATTCACAGCATTTTAGGAGCCTCTTGATGGTTTTCAGAAAGATATATGTTTATGTTTTAGAAGTAGACACCAGAGAACCATAAAATCTTTCTATCCTTTTTAGCAATAATATTGCGGCTTCTTTAAGTTTACTCAAAGGAGAACAGAATCTGAGGGATAGAATGTAGTCTAGAGAAGTCAAGGTGGAAGAAAAGAGACATTTATGGGTGTGTGTGTGTGTGTGTGTGTGTGTGTGCGCGCGTGCGTGCGTGCGTGTGTGTGTGTGTGTGTGTGCGCGCGCGCGCGCGCGTGTGTGCGTGTGTGTGTGTGTGTGTGTGTGTGTGTGTGTGTGT